ACTGGGAAAAAGTATTTGGTAATGACATGTCAGATAAGGGACTTATATCTAGAATTTATAAAATACTTGAGCACCACAACAAGATAAAGGTAAATAACCCAATTGAAAAATGGGCACAGGATGTGAACAGACACTTCAGATGGCCTACAAGCACATGAAGATATGTTCAAAATTCCTAGCTCTAAGATAGATGCAAATTAAAACAGCTATGAGATATCATCTCACCCCAGTAAGAATAGCAAAATTTAACAGAACAGCAAGCACCAAATGCTGGCGAGATTGTGGAGAAACTGGAACCATTATTCACTGTTGGTGGAAGTATAAAATGGTGCAACCACTGTGGAAGGTGGTGTGGCGCTTTCTCAAAAAGTTGCAAATAGAGATACCACTTGACCCAGCAATTCCACTACTGGGAATATACCCTAAAGAGACCATAACTGACATCCAAGCAGATATATGCACACCCATGTTTATCGCAGCTCTGTTCACAATAGCAAGGATTGGAAACAACCTAAGTGCCCATCAATAAACTAATGGATAGAGAAGCTGTGGTATAGTCACTCAATGGAATACTACGCCGCATTGAAAAACAAGGAACTCATGCAATACTATTCAAAATGGGTGATCCTGGAGGACATTATGTGGAGTGAAATATCTCAGTCACAAAAGAACAAATACTGCATGGTGCCACTGTTGTAGAATGGGACTGATATCAGGGTTGTGGGGAGACTGAGAAAGATGGGATAAATAATGTATACTGCATTGAAACAGATGAGGGAGAGAACAGTTTAAAAGCAATATATGATAGAGTATTATGGTTATCACAAGAGTCCAGGTTTAAGGTTGCATAGTGGAGTGTACTCTGGAAGGTGGGGCTGGGGCACGGAGAGTGGGGGGGGGGATTGTATACCAATGAAAGAATTTTTCTTTTACTTTTCAAAGAGAGGAGCAAACTCGGGGGGGGGAAGGGGTGGGCAGGGAGAAAAGTGCAACAATGAATGAATGGAAATTCACATTCTCTGTAAATGTTCACTAAAATTAATAAAATAAAAGTTAAAAAAAAGAAATTAAGAAAATATAAATATTTTTTTAAGCCAAAACAAAACCAGATTACATTGGGAAAATCTGCTGCCAAAGACCTCTTCAAAGTATTAAAGATCAAGGATGTTAAAGTCTAATTCATGCCATGATATTTTTAATCACCTCTTGTACCTGTGAAAGTTGGACAACAAATAAAGAAGACTGCAGAAGAATCGATGCTTTTTTAATTGTAGTGTTGGTAGAAAATATGGAATATACCATGGACTTAAAAACACCCTAAACCAAAAAAAACACCCTAAACCAAACCTCAAGCAAATATGTCTTAGGCAGAAGTACAGCTAGAATGTTCTTTAGGAGCTGGAATGGTGGGTCTTTGTCTCATATACTTTGAACATGTTAGCAGAGGGACTAACTGCTAGAGAGGGGCATCATGCTTGATAAACTAGAAAAATCAGTGAAAAAGAGAAAGATCCTCAATTAAATGGATTGATAACAGTGACTTCAACAATAGGTTTCAGCACAGACGAGATTGTGAAGATGGTACAGGATTGGGCAATATTTCTTCCTGTTGTTTACAAGGTGGAAAGCAAATTGACTGCACTGAACTGACACCAACACCATGGAGATTCTGTGGATGGTATTATATGGAGTCATTTGAAGAATGGACCTTCTCTGAGCAAGTCTTACAGATATTTTTTCCTTACAGTTTATGTAATCTTTAAGCTCTTAAACTGCACTTATATTCATAAAGTTTCTTATGCGTGAAGATGGCTATTGAATTCCAGTATTGCCTTTAAGTATCATGCTTACTATAGTAAATGATCTGAGACAGCTTTCAACGGCTTAACTTTTCATCCATGGTGACCGAGCCCATGTACCCAATTCCCAAGTGCCATATTTTCTCTGATTCTATTCTTGCTGTCATTTTCTATATTGTAAATATGATTTATTATTCCCTAAAGAATTACAATGTGAGTATATATAGGTAGGGCCAGCATGCTAATAGAAAACACTTTCTGGGAGATGAGATCAGAACTAAGTAAAATATTCTTTTTTTTTTCCCCCCCTAGGAGGCAAGAATGGCAGCATTCCTACATTTTAATCTAGTGGTAATGCAAGGACAGCATGCATTACCTCCACATCCCACATGTAACCTTAGAGTCAAACGGAGTAACCTGGTTAAAGATACTCTGCGCCAATTAAGCCAAGTGGAAAATGGTGACCTACGTAAAGATTTAGTGGTACAGTAAAAAGTCTTATTGAGTATTTTAATAATGTGAAATACAGAGAGGTGGGGATAACATTTATATATAACAGAGCCCTGTTAACAAAAGCCTGCATTTGCAACTGTTCAAATAGTTAGTCTTATGGTTTCCACAATGTCTCCCCTTCAGAGAACAGCCATGAGACTTTGAATTGCTCACTCAGGTCTAAGTTAACTAACACTGTAAAACTGTTGTATAATTACTCATCCTAAAGCTTAAACTCAACCATTTATTCCATAGATGTGCAGTTCAGTTGAGGATCTGCAGATTTGGGATGAACTTGTCTGGGTTACTTTGCAGAACTTAACTGGGTTTGCTTACATCCAGGAGTTGAAGGCATTGTATCTTAAATTTGAACCTGAAATGTGTTCTCTTTCATCAGATTGAATTTACTGACGAAATTGTTTCTCAAGGTCAAGGAGTCAAGTCAGAGTTCTTCCACTTGGTCTTTCAAGAAATGACTCGGCCAGAATATAATATGTTCATGTATACCACAGAGAGTTCCTATATATGGTTTCCTGCTAAAGTAAGGCGATTTTTTAAGTTTTCTTTTCTAGTGCATTTTTTCCAAGCCGAAAAAACTTACACCAGGTACTGCAATATTCACACTATAGAAAATACATTAACATCAGGTCACCTAGAACCTTGTTACTCAAAATATTATCCACAGGCATAGAATCTCAGGCCTCATCTCAAATCTGATTTATTAGACGTCTGTTTTAAGAAGATCTCTAGTGATTCAGGTGCAGATTATATTTCTCAAACAACTTTATTGAACTGTATCTGGGATATAATAAATTACATATGTAAAGGATCCTATTTCATAAGTCTTGATGCACTTTATAACCTTGAAATTATCACTCTTATCAAGGCAATGAATGGACAAGGGATGTCCACTGCCCTCATATTTCCTCTTGTCTGTTTCTAATGTTCCTCTCCTATCTCTTCTTCCATGCCTAGTAACCACTGATTTACCTTCTGTCACTGTCGCCAACTTTGAATTTCTTAAAATCTCATATAATACCCTTTTAATATTGTCTTTTATATGTCTTCTTTCACATGGCATAATTATTTTGAGTTTCATCCATGTCATGGCTTGCATTCATAGCTCATTTATTCTTTTTATTTCTGAGTAGTTTATTTTTGTGAACCGTAAATTGGAGTAGGTTTGGTGTCAGGGATGATAAGGATGGAGGAGAATGGGACAGGGCTCAGATCTCTTGCTCATAGGGTCGCTACGAATCTTATTCTACTGAATGGCCCTACCAACAACAAACAATGACAACTGTTGTATAGCATGGGCAAGATTTAATTAGAATTGCCTTGAGTTGGAACCTACTCCATGCCATAACCACAGTGTACTAGTATATGCATTTACCATAATTTGTTTACTAAACTAATTGATGTTGGATGGATCTTTTTTTTTTCGCTGTTTCTCAAACCTTAAGAAGCACTAATATAAAATATTTTAAATTGTTGTTGTTGTTAGGTGGTATTGGGTAGGACTGACTTATAGCTGACTCTCCAGTTAGTTTTCAGAAGCTATAAGTCACACAGAAGGAGTTCACCTATCATTTTCCTGTGGAGTGATCATCTGATGGCGGTACAACTTCTCATCACTAGGACACCAGGGCTCCCTTTCTGAAATTGTTGTTGTTATTATGTGCCGTCGAGTCGTTTCCGACTCATAGCGACCCTATGCACAACAGCCCTAAACCCTGCTCTATCCTGTGACAACCGCACCACCTCTGACACTCCCATCCCGATTACCCCAGTCACCGAATCAATCCATCTCATAGAGGGTCTTCCCCTCCTGCGCTGTCCCTCCACCCTCCCAAACAATATAT